TAAATGGACTCAACAGGCTGCACCTATGTATTTTTATCCATGTGTGCATGTCACGATAACAATTGGAAAGGCAAACAATAGAGATAAAGCACCGAAATAGAAGTGGGGGGGGGCTTTGAGGAGCAGTGGGAGGGGGGCAGGATGTGGTAATAGGGGGTTGGAGATGATTACTATATTATATACATGTATGAAATGTTATGACGAGACCCATTATCATGTACAGTTAATACTATATGACTATATATACACATAGAGATATATGTCAGGTAAAGATCCTTACAACCAGAAAAACACTCCTAAGCCTTCCCTGAGGAGACATTAGGGACATTCCAGTAGCTACATGAGGTTGTAGAACACATTCAAAGCTCGTGTTAGGGACAGTGGCACAGTAATCCTCACATGGGCTCTGCTCCAAGTGCTTCCATGTGTAAACACACCCCCTTCCAGAGGAACCGGATGAGGTAGGTGTTTAAGGCTGTCTATCCCAGTGGGCATGCATCACACTCTAACCTAGCACTGGGAGACTGAGGCGGGCTGCCATGAACTGGAGTACGGGCTACACAGTGAGTTCCAGAGTTCTGGGCTAGCCTGGGCTAGTGTGAGCCTCTCAAAACAACAGCAACAAGCAACTGACCAAAACCCAAATCCTTTCAAAATCTCACAATCCCTGTCTACAATTCCTAAATGTAAGAAAGATGCATTGTGCATTTGATGTTTGTCTTAGTCGGGGTTTCTATTGCTATGATGAAACACCATGACCAAAGAGCAAGTTAGGGGAGGAAAGGGTTTATTTGAATTACACTTAAGCATTGCTGTTCATCACTGAGGGAAGTCAGGACAGGAACGCGAACAGGGCAGGATCCTGGAGACAGGAGCTGATGCAGAGGCCATGGAGGGGAGCTGCTTACTGGCTTGCTCCCCATGGCTTGCTCAGCCTGCTTTCTTAGAGAACCCAGGGTCATCAGCCCGGGGATGGCACCACCCACCATGGTCTGGACCCTCCCCTATTTGATCGCTAAATGAGAAAATGCTTTACAGCTGGATCTCACCAAAGCATTTCCTCAAATGAGACTCCTTCCTCTCTGATAACTCTAGCTGTGTCAGATCGATACCCTAAACCACCCAGGGCAATGCTAAAACTCAAGTGCAGAGTTCAAGTGATGGTGCAGTAGTCATGCACTGGCTGCTCTTCTAGAAGACCAGGATTTGTTTCCCAGCACCCACCCATGTATGGCTGTGGTACACCACTACACATGTAAACAAAATGCTCATATACATAAAATAAAAATACTAATTAACATGTGCAGTGGTGCAGCCCTGTAATTCCAGCATTCAGGAGGCAGAGGCAGGCAGATCTCTGTGAGTTCAAGACCAACCTGATCTACAGAGTGAGTTCCAGGCCAGCCAGGGCTACACAGTGAACCCCTGCCTAAAAACAAAAACAAAAAAGACCCACACAAAAAACAAACAAACAAATCCCCTCCCCCAAAACAAAGACCAAACAAACAAAAACCAACCAAAGAAAAGAAAAGCAAACACAAACTCCATCACAGGCCTGGGAAAGTGGCTCAGTCAGCAAAGAGATTGTTGTGAGGGTACAAGAGCCTCAGTTCAGTACCCCCATCCATGTCAAGCCCAGCATGGCGACACACGCTTGTAGCCCTAGTGCCTGGGATGAGAGAGAAGATCTTTGGGGCTTGCTGGCCAGATAGTCTAGCTAATTGCTGAACTTCACTTTCAGGGACAGATCCTGTCTCAAAAAAAAAAAAAAAAAAAAAAGGAAAGTGATTGAGAAGTACACGAAGTACACGCCTACAATGACCTACGCACACGTGCATGACCTTGTGCTCATACACAAATAAATCTTTCAGTTGGTGGCACAGCTGACCAGAACTCATATGTAGGTGGCTTTTTTTTGTTTTTTTTTTTGTTTGTTTGTTTTGGTTTGTTTATTTGTTTGTTTCTGAGACAGGATGAAGGCGAGCGAGAAGGAGGGGTATTAATGAGTTCACTAGACCCAAGATAAATGATAAACGGGTGTTTTATTGGGGAACAGCTTACACAGATCATAGTAAAGAACCACCATGGCCTTCCTGCTCCAGAAGACCTAAGAGGGAGCCGCCCCCCCTTCTCCAACTTCTGCACCTGAAGCCACGCCCAGAGGGGGTGTGGCCACGAACACAATTCCCTGGCAAGGTGAGATGTTACAGGGTTTCTCTGTGTAGCCCTGGCTGTCCTGGAACTCACTCTGTAGACCAGGCTGGCCTGGAACTCAAGTCCCACCTGCCTCTGGCTCCTCTTGTAGGCTTACTTTCCCCTCTTCGTGTGACTAGCCAGGCTGTGTGGCTTGGTGTTGGACCTGCTTCTTGATACTGAATCAGTACAGTGACTTGTACAAACTGGATGAGTCCTGGCCACGGCTTCAGGTGCAGATCCAGCTGTGGCCACAGCTGCAAGCCCTGCCTCAGCTTCAGGTCTCTTTCACTGCGGTCTTGCACTGTGTTGGAGCCCCTCAGCTATGTCACCTTGAAATCTGGGTGGATTTTACGGGATGCAAGCCTGTAATCCCAGCTCTTTAGAGACTGCGACAGGAAGATCTCAAGTTCAAGACCAGACTGAGCTACATCATGAGACTGTCTCCAAGAGCCAACAGACATGAAACCACCCCCCCCCGCCCCCACACACACAGAGTCTTAAAAGCGGTCACGTGCCCAGAGGACCTGGGTTATGGACACACATTTAGGCTCCTGCTTTACAAAGTGATGGGTGGTTCCATCAGAACATGAACAGGCATTGTGGAGGACTGGGGGCTGGGGTGACATCACCAGGAGACCATGGGATTTCAGGAAAGGGTTCAATTTCCCCTCAAACAGAATCCATGGAGCTTGGATGGTGAGGACAGAGCAGAGCTGGATCCTGGTACCCGGCCTCATCTCTGACCTGCCTCCATATCTGGGCTCCCAGGCTCTCTGGCACTGGATCCTCAGCGTTCAGAAGCCAGCCGGGCTGTCAGCAGTGAATGAAGTAGGGCTGTACGCATCAGCAGAAAGAGAAGGCCAGGGCTGAGGAGCAATACAGTACAGTTGTGGTCAGCACAGCCTGGCTGGGGAAAGGGCAGCAGTCAGCCAGAGAGCACCAGCTTCTCCTGAATACAGCCGGAGTCAATTATTTTAAAATCAGGGGGGAGGGGCTGCAAGATGGCTCATGGGGGTAAAGGCCTGTGCTGCCAAGTCTGACCCCTGGATTTGAGCACTGGGGACCTACATGGTGGAAGGAAAGGATGGACTCCTGCAAGTTACACACATGACCCTGCCCGAGTCCTCAAACCAAGCAGCTCAAAACATAACACATCCTGTGAGGACTTAGTTTGCCACATCAAGCATCCTTGCATGTTCGTGCCTGCATGTGTGTACATCTGTGCATGAGTGCTTTCGTGTGTGGGAGTGCGTGTGCATATGAACATGTGGTATGCATGAGTGTGTGTGAGTTCAAGTGTGCACATGACTGTGTGCACGTGTGCATGAGTGTGAGTGCATTATTCTGTGCTTTCCAACAAGAGGTGTTCGTTTTCATAGCTATTGGTACCTGAAGTCAACATGTGTGGGTAATCTTGTTGGTTCTATAAACTGATATCCCTCCCTTTCTCTATCCCCTTCTTAATGATGGCAATGCCCAGGGCCTTACACCTGCCAGGAAAATAATTTACTGCTGAGCTGCATCCCCAGCCCCTCCTCATGAGTGGATTCTAGGCCCCTTCTTTGCTGCTGAGCCCTACCTCCAGTTCTTGCTCTTTGAGACGGGGTCTTGTGGGATCTCAGGCACTGGCACCAGGCCTAGGTAGCTTTGTGTATTTTGTATCAAGATACAATACAGCATTTTGACATGAATTGGCATACGAGTAAAGGGTCAGTCCCTGAGCATCTCCAATACTTAGGGTGGGTCTAACTTGAGGCAAATGCAAAAAACAAAAAACAAAACAAACAACTGTTGAGCTGGGCATGACGGTGCACACATTTAATCCCAGCAATCAGGAGGCAAATCTCTGTGAGTTCGGGGCTAGCCTGGTCTACACACAGAGTTCCAGGACACAGTGTTACATGGTGAGACCTTGTCTCAAAAAAAAAAGTTTCTGAGGTATAAATGTTACTATATGAAAACTATTTATCGCCACAAAGAAATCACAGTTTCAGCATAATCTACACATACCTTTATAGTGGTTGGTATCAAAATTGACATTTCATTCTTCCAAAATTGCTATTAATCATTATGATGTAACACTAAAGCAAGAAGTCTTTGTGAGGGGGGAGTGGGGGGTGAGTGCGGGCACACACATAAGAATCAGGACTTGTGTTCCAAGACATGCAGGATTTTGTCGTTGCTTGTTTGTTTCAGACAAGCTGTGTAGTTCAGGCTGATTTCACACTCAGCCATCCATCCTGCTGCCGCAGCCTCCCAAGTGCTGTAAAGGTGTGAGCTTTTGTCAGGCTCCCAATGCACACATTTCAGGTCTAATCATTTCTTGTTTATTTGTTTGGTTCCCCCCACCCCTTTGGTTTTTCGAGACAGAGTACTCCGTGTTGCCAAGAGAGTCCTAGTACTCATTCTGTAGAACAGGCTGGCCTTGAACTCACAGAGATCCACCTGCCTCTGGGATTAAAGGCATGCACCATTACTGCCCAAATAATTGTTATTTTTTTGAAGATTATTTTTCATTACAAGTATGTAACATGAGTGCAGCAGATTGCAGTTGTAAACCACTACGTATCTGCTGGGACTTGAACCCAAGGCCTCTGGAAAAGCGGCATGGGCTCTTAACTGCTGAGCCATGTCTCCAGCTCTGATCATTTTTAGCTGTGACTTAAGACATGTTGCTTTTTCAGGACTCAGTTTCCCTCCATGTAATATGGTGATTACAGATAATTTGGAAAGAGGTGGAGAAGCAGAAACTGCAATCAGAATATGAATTTTCTTTCTTTTTGTTTTTGTCTTTTTTTTTTTTAAAGGGGAGAGCAAGAATACAGTTCCCCTAGTACAAATTATGCAGTTAAATTTCCTGCATTTGGGGGAACAGCATCAGTCAGCACACCCTGAGTGCAGTGGATGAGCCTTGCCCTGGAAAATTACCTTCATGATTATGGTATCTTCTCTGCCAGGCAAATATAGAATATGAATTTTCTTTCTTCTTTTTCTTTTGATTTTTCAAGATGGGGCTTGTCTGTGTAGCCCTAGCCACCCTGGAACCTGCTGTGTAGACCAGGCTGACCTCAAACTCAGGTATTTGCCTGCCTCTGCCTCCCAAGTGCAGGGCCTAAAGGCATGTGCCACCACCTCCAGAGAATATAAATTTTCAATTTAAAATTGTATAAATTTTCAAATAAAAATGGTGATAATCCAGGCATGATGGTGCATGTCTTTAATACCAAAACTGAAGATCCAGGGGCAGGCAGACCTCTGTGAGTTCAAGGCCAGCCTGGTCTACATAGAAAATTCCAGAGCTACATAGTGAGATGCTGTCTCAAGAAATAATAGTAATGAGATCAAATATTTGCTACATGCTAGGTATTGTTATTGTGCCTGGAACTCGGTGTGTAGTTCCAGCTGGTTTAAAGTCATAACAATATTCCTGCCTTGGCCTCCAAAGTACTAGGACGACAATCACAAGCCACCACACTGAGTCTCATTTTAAAAATGTCAAAGTATGTGGTGTGTTGGTGATGTTCTCCACATTTACAGAGGAGGAAGTGGAAGGTCAGAGAGGTAAAATTATCTATGGGAGATCACATAGCTTGGATCAGGGCTCCCAGCTCCAGGGTACAGCTCAAGGCGAATGATGATGATAGCAAATACTCCCAGCTCCAGGGTACAGCTCAAGGCGGATGATGATGATGATGATGATGATAGCAAATACTTTCATCCCAGAATTTGGAAGACAGAGGAAGAAGTATCTCTGTGAGCTTAAGGTCAGCTTGGTCCACATACCAAGTTCTAAGCCAGACAGTGTTACATAGTGAAAACATGTCTCAAAAACAGAACAAAAGGAAATAATGAAAATGATCGCAGTGCTGAGAAACCCCAGATTCTCCCCAAACACACTTTCACTTTATCTCCGTGATTGAGATGGAGCCCCTTAATTCCAAGGTCATTTGAAAATATCAAGCGTGGAAGCCCGGCTGTTCTATTCAGCACCACGGCCAGCGCCCAAGCACGCCGAGTCTGCGCAAAACTCTGCTTATGCAAAGTGGTTCTTTTCCAAGAGTCCCGGTGAATTTTTTGGGTACAAGCAGCCACCTGCTCGGAGTGTGGCCCTGGGCAGTGATTTAGCGACTTCGACCTTCAATATGCTTCTCTATAAAATTGGGATAATAAAAAGACCTGCCTCCGGGTGACTGTGAGGAATATATTATATAATGTGCATACATTAGATATAAAAGCACTTACCATTAGCCCATAAAGATGGCCTGTTTGTAAGTCTGTGAGCAGTACGAAGGCGTGCACACACCGCCGCCACCACCGTCGCCAGAGAGGCGCTTCCGTGCTTGGGGACCTACCTGTTGGAAGACAACTTGCATTCTCCCCTACTCTGTGGGTCCTGAGGAATTGAATTCAGGTTGTCAGACTTAGCAACGAGTGTTTTAACGTTGACCACCTCACCGGCCTTAATTTTAAATTTTACTTACTTAATTTTGAGACAGGGCTTAGGCATCTCTCTATATCACTTTGAACTTCTTGATGCTCCTGCCTCCGCTCCCAGAGTGCTGGGATTGTAGGCAAGTTTTAGGAATCAAACTCGGGGCTTTTTACATTCAAGGCAAGACTCCCCCAACCGGGTGACCTAAACCTCCAGTCTGTCGCGTAAAACCTTATAAATCACTGTCAGGGCCCTGCTGTTGCTGGCAGGTGGGGTAATTGCACTGGAGGATTTTGAGTGGAGCAGGGACATGACTTGGATTTAAAAATATATTCTCGGGGGCAGCCTGATCCTCAACAGGTCTGCTCACTTCCCCAGGCTCCGGTGGCCCCTGTGACCCTTGAGCAGCAGTTGTTGGCACATATGGCCACAGGACTTGTGTCTTTCTGGCTGACAATGATGTCCAGCCAACAGCGCCACTGGATGAGTGGCATGTCGGGAAAACTTGGTGGGTCGCCTGTGTTTTGCATCTGCAGGTCCTGAAAGGAAGGGTTCAAGGTGTAAGAATACAGCCAGGCGACCCACTCACCGTAGAAAGCTTTGCTTGCCGGTCGCCGCGCGGCAGCCACGGCATCACCAGGAGCACCCAGCAGATGGCGCAGCGGCGCCGGGTCCCGGCAGGCGTGCCCACGTGGATTCCTCACCAGCCCTCGGGCTCTGCTCACCGGTGCTGTCACTAGCACCACCATCCGGAGCCCCTCGGGCGGTGGCGACACACACACACACACACACACACACACACACACACACACACACACACACACACACACACACACAGCGGGAAGTCGGGTTTCTCAGCGCCCCCGTTTTCCAAGAAAGCTGTGATTAAGCGGCGGACCTAGAAACCCACAAACGCAGCTGTTGAGTCTGAGTGAACCGGGAGCGCAGAGGAGGGAACCAGAATAGCAGGGTGGATGGGGAGGCCATTCAGCCAGGTCTGAATCCTCATGCGGCTTTCAAACCATGTGAACCTGACCTTTTGTGGGTGTCGGGGGCCCTCTTTTGATAAAAGCTGTTATCCACATATACTTCACAGAGCTGGGGAAATGGTTGACTTTGTTTGGGTCGTCTGCCCCATTCTGTTCTTCAGAACCGGTTTGCCCAACCCACTGGCACACAGTCTGCCTAAACAGACCTTCTGCTAATGGGTCAGGGTCCTACCCAGAGGAATTCCACAGTGCCCAATCCACTATCACAGAGCCATGGCAGGCTGTGAGGCCACCAGCCACCTGCTTTCTACATACCCAAGGGGTCACTCAGCCTGTGGGAAATGCAGAGCATCGAGCGTGAGGGCAGGTGTAAAGGCAGTTGTGACTGGGTCTTACCGTGCCTCTTGCCACTCTGCCCCGAGGGCACACACCAGGAAGGGGCTGGGACGGCTGAACAGCCCCCTGGGATCTAGGCAGGCTGGAACTCTTGCCGCCACGAGGAAGCTGGGTAGACATCCCCTGGCCCTCATCACTCTCCCTGAACCAGCAAGGAATGCATGGGGTACTGGTGGTCCCAGACTGACCTGGTAGCATCATGTTGAAATTGTGGGGGTAGGGATTAGAGGCAGATGGAGGAACAGAGAAAAGGGAAGAGGGGTTGATTTGTAGAGGGGAGTAAAAACTGGAGATGACCACAGGCACAGGAAGCAGAAGAATTACCGCGAGGAGGAGGAAGGTGGGGGAAAGGAGACAGGAGCAGTGGGAAGGGGGTGACAAAGGGTAGGAGGAGGGGGTGGCGAGGGGGCGTTAGGACCAGAAAAGGGCCTTTGAGTATGGAGAGTGGCTTGGTCGTGCTTAGTACAAAGGGGCAAGGTCAGGAAGCTGACCCCCGAAGGTCATCCTAAAAAGGAGGCGTGCGCCCCATAGCGGCTCAGGAGGGTGAAACTTTTGGGGCCTTGGGAAGGGTTGGTTTGGGAGTGCAGACTGCTGCTGTGGCTTAAGGTGGGGACTGGGGACTTGAACTCCTGAGTATGGGGAGTGATTGAGACAGGAGTGGGAGGAAACACTACGATGGCGGATGTGAAGATGTGGGGAACAGGGAGCTGAACTCCCAAGGGATGAGGTCTGCCTCTCTCTCTCCCAGTCCCTTGGGACCTTCTACACTGGAGCTGCTGGGAGAGCTAGGGGGGCAGGGCAAGGCTGGATTTCCCAGACAGGAAAGGCATGGGTTGGAGAGGAATCTCAGCACCTTCTCCCCCACATTCTAATTGTATGCACCCACACCCTCTTCTCCCCAGAACCTTTGCTGCCGGTTAAAGGGAAGGGAACCATAGCTTTCCATTCCCCGCCCCTCTCACCATTCCCCTGGCTCATCATCCAATGCAGGGTAGGTGAGGGTCTATAGGAAGACATGGCAGGCCTTGACTTCCTGGGAGCGGTTAGTAGTCCTTCCAAGCCAGTGTCTCTCAACCTGTGGGTTACGACCCCTCTGAGGTCAAGGACCCTTTCTCAGGGATTGCATATCAGATATCCTGAATGCAGAGGTTGCCTTGTGATTCATAGCAGTAGCAAAACTGCAGTTATGAAGTGGCAATGAAATAATTTTATGGTTGGGGGTCACCGCAGCACTAGGAAGGGTGAGCCACTGCTCTAAGCTGAAGGGACATTTTGGAAGTGGTACTTGAGAAAGACTGATGTCTCTATAAGGGAAGCATTTTGTTTGCCTTCTTTTTTTTTTTTTTTTTTTTTTTTGGTATGGTTTTTCGAGACAGGGTCTTGCTATGTATCCCAGGTGGCTTCAAACTCATGGAAGTCCAGTAACTCTCCCATCTCAGCCTCCCAAATGCTAGGATTATAGGCCTGTGCTACCATACCTGGCAAAACTAAGGAGTTTGGCTCTGACTCTGAACTGGGAACCTGGGGGGCATGGGAGGCTTTTATGCAGCCAACAGACAGCTCCGGCTTTAGAAAGATTTTGGATCAGAGATGATGGCTGGACCAGGATCCCAGAGGGAGGCTTGCAAAGGGATCCAGGTGGCTAAAGTCAGCATTAGACCAGAGCTGAAGTGGGGGGGGGGGCATGGAGGTGGTTAGATGCTCAAACATGAACTGGACAGAGAGGCTGGTTGGTTCAGAAGCTGGGATGAGTTGGATGTGAGATGCCACGTAGTAAAAGGGACCCAGGAAATTACAGAAAGCCAGGTCTAGAATTAGGACAAAAGACACAGGCTCAGAGCCGGCATTGGTGGTGCACGCCTTTAATCCCAGCACTAGGGAGGCAGAGGCAGGCAGATCTCTGAGTTCGAGACTAGCCTGGTCTACAAGAGCTAGTTCCAGGACAGGCTCCAAAGCTACAGAGAAACCCTGTCTCAAAAAACAAAAAACAAAACAAAACAAAAGGCATAGGCTCAGAGATTGGCGGTTGAGAAGAACAGAAAATGAAGGGTGTGTGGGGGGGGGATGGGTGTGGGTGTGTCCATCTCCAGCCTGGGGCAGAACAGCATTTAGAGGGAAGTGGAAGTTCCCAGGAAGTTGCTGATGTGCCCATGGGCTCAGAAGAGTGCACTGTGCCCCAGGGTTCCGGGGAGTTGGGGCCAGAAGACATCCAGAGTGAAAGCCTTTGAAGTCTCCTGCTCTCCAGTTCTTGCCAGCTTCGCATCCTCCTCCATCAGCGCACCCATGTGCGCTCTTACACGCGAACATTTTCCAGTACTTAGCATGGACATTGTGTAAGCGGCCTTTCTGTGTTCCCTCCCCACGCCCACAGTGTGAACGTTTGCAATTGAGAATGAAGCTCCGGGTTGATGTGGGACCTTCCCAGGCCCTTCCCCGGGATCACGGGCACTCTCCGTTCGTTCGCTTCACAGGCAGCAGAGCCGCCCCCTCCCATACACATTGTTCTTGGCTACGTGCCTCAATTCCCTTCCCACGGTGGTCAGGTGGCTTTTCTGAAGCAAGACTGAACGCTGTCCCTCCTTGCTCAGACCCCACCCCCTTGGCACAACAGGGCCCTGAGGCAGCACTGGGCAGCCAAGTCGCTAGAAGGTTGCCTGTTGCCCCGTCCATTCCCCCATCTGATGCCCAGCTACACCTTACTCTAGCTTGTCCTGGAAGTGGACATGCCTTGTTTTCCTTTCCTTCTCTCTCTCTTTTTCTCTCAAGACATGATTTCTCCGTGTAGCCCTGGCTGTCCTGGAACTCACTCTGTAGACCAGGCTGGCCTTGAATTCGGAGATCTGCCTGCCTCTGCCTCCTGAGTGCTGGGTCAAAGGTGTGCCCTGCTGCCCACTCCCTCCAACCTGGTCCCTCTTCCTTTCTTGTAGGCCTTTCTGGGAGAGGCTCTTTGCCCCGGCTCTCATCCACCCTTCAACATCTTCTTCAGGCAGAATTGGCTACACATCTAGAAGAGCCGGGTGCAAAAAAGGAAAATGGTGGTGAGCTTGTTTGAAATGTATTGAGAATTTCAAAAGGAGAGCTGGGGATGGCTATTGTGCCTGTAGCCCAGCACCTGAGGCAGCAGAGACAGGAAGATTGAGTTCAAGGTCATCCTGGGCTATGCTGGCAAGACCCTGTCTTTAAAATGAACAAGAAGGAAGGGAGGAAGGAAGGAAGAGAGGAAGAAAGAGAAAGAGATAGTAACAGGAAGACACTAAGTCATTGTAAGCGTAGGACACTGGGCTACTCCACAGGTCACAGAGCCACAGAGTCCTATCTTAGCACATCTTGGAGCTCCCATCAATCTCTGTAAGGAGTCACTGTAGCTCCCGAGCCCCCAGGACCAGAGCGTGTGGTGGCACCTACATTCCTAGCATGTGAGAGGTAGAGATCAGGAGGTCCAGGCCACTCTGGCTTCCACGAAACCCTGCTCAGAACACCAGAAAGCAAACCAGGTTACCATCCTCCAGCCTGTACTTTCTCAGACCAGACTACCCTGGCCACCATTTGTATCCACTCGTTCTATAAGAACTGGGGCCCCGGGAGGGCAGGGAACTGCCCGATTTATTGGTAGCCACTTGTTCCCAACATTCTAACCCCACTAAGGCCAAGACAATGCTAAGCACTGACACCCTTGCCCCCAGGCATGTGAGGAACCTCAGGAAGGACCCCTGGGTCCCACTACCCAGAGGAGATTTGCTCTCTTTAGGGAGACCCCCCCACCGCACCCCATCAGGTTCTCCCTCTTAGGAGCCCAAGGAAGTCTTCCAGGGAATCATGATGTCTTCTAATGTTATAGATGCATATCAGCCTTAGTCACTCTGAGATCCATGGCTAAGCATGGCCGCATGCTACTAGAGATCGCGTGAGATCAAGATGACAGTCACCCGGAGATAGTGACTCAGCAGCCAGTGTTTGGTACTCAAATTGTGCAGGGCACTTGCTTTGACCAGTGGGGCAATGGGCAGCAGACACCATACTCCCTGACCTCGGGATGTTGGTGGCTGCCGCTGGGCAAGGCTGCGCAGAATCACCGACCTTAAATCCTAGACGCCGCTGTCGTTTGTTTTTGCACAGGGCTAAGGGGTGCTGTGAGTGTCCTGTGAAGTTCCAGGAAGACCTGCCTGTTCCAGGTACCTCTTCCCACTGTCACCATTTCCCCGATTGTTGTAGGCTATCACTGGGTGTGTCTCCATTGTAGCCCTGTGTTTCCTGAGCCTGAATCCACCTGATGGGCCTCAGACTTATTTGGCCTCTATCCGCTGGCTGCATTGTCCTGGGGTTTGGCGAAGGTCCCTTCCTCCTATATTACAGACCAATCAGCTGGGATTGGAGACCTCAGTCTGGTCCTCTTCCCCTAGCTTCTACAGTTTCCCCTCTGTTCTGGGTCCATTGCTAGTAGGTTCTCACTGTCCTCTTTTGGGTAGGGAAGGGAGAGCCTACTGACATCTTACATCTTCCTCAGGTCCCGCCCAGGCTAGGTCAGCCTCCTGCCAGGCCTGTTTCAGCATCTTCCTCCTCAGTTACCCTGCTCCCCATTGGCCCTCCACACCCAAGATCTGCCACGGGAGCTTCCTTGAGATCCAGGAAGACTATTCTCCTTACAACTCAAAATCCTCCAGTGGCCAGGAGTGATAGTGTGATCCCAAAACCCCAGGGCTCAGGAGGCCAAGACAAAAGGAACATGGAAGAAATGAAGGAGCCTGAGTTCAAACCTGGGTAATGTGGTGAGACCATGCCTCAAAGAAACAAAACAAAACCTCCAGTGGCTCCTCATGCCTCAGAAGGGTTTTACACCACCTGCTTCCTGCCTTCGTATTATACCAAGTCCCTTCTGTCCACCATTTCATCTCTGCTTCCCTGTTCCCCACAAGGCTTCCCTTAGCCAATGCTGTTCCTTGTGCATGGCATACTGTCCCCATCCCTGGCTAGTTATCTCTTCCCGGAGTGACCTTCAGGCCTCAGCTGGAGTCAAAGCCTGAGTTTCACAGTTCCACATCTCCCTCACATACCCCTGCTTCACACGCAACCCGGTTTAACATCTGTGTCTGTCACAAATGGTGTCTGAATCTGCCCCCAGGGCCCAGCAAACAGTAAAGACAGTCAATTTTTAACAGGAAGGCCTAGGAACCGTGCACTCTGGCTCCCCCTCCAGGTGGGAACGGGCATTTCCTAGCTGGCACTGAGCCAGCCCTCCTATTTGTTAGCTCCCACAGCCCAACACCTATGCCCTCACTTAAGCTGATAACCTCACATGACCTTAGCCACTCAAGGACGACAAAATGACAAAGTGGCCTCTGGATGCTGCGGAACCAGCTTGGGTGCCATGTCTCCACAGTTAACAGTGGTCTCAAGTCCCACCATGAAAATAGGCTCTGTCGTCTCACCAGAAAGTTCTTGCACCAAACCCTGAGAATTCCAGTTTAGGCTCAGGCTGCCTTCACCCTGCACTTCATATCACCTAACCCTAGATGACTGACAGGTGCCACGTTCTCGCCATGCCCCCACCTGGACCTGCCATCAGAGAAGCTGCTCGCTGGGAGGATGCTATTCTTGCTATTGACCCCATTCCTGGATCTCTAATGAGTTCGACCTTTTCCAGGCCCCGCGTCTGATCCTATAAACGTCCAGGACCGTTGTGTGAGGTGACACAGTGGGGACCAGCTCAGAAAGGACATGAGGCCAGTGTTCTGGCTCGCCCATATTCACTCATATCTGACAATGTGGCACCTGCCTCACCCCCTCCCCACACCGCTCTTCCTGGGACCTCAGTAACCTTTATATTAGTAAACACAATGGCTACTTGAGATACTTTCCCTCAGCCTGAAGCTGTTAAAAAGGTTTCTCTCTTCCTTAAACACAGAAATCCCAATGGTTCTATCTTAGGACCCCTCCCATGTCCCCCCCCCTCCATCCCCCTCCCCGGGGAGAAGGCTTTCATGTTGTAGCCTCAGGGTTGCCTTTGAACTTGTAATCAATCAATCCTCTTGCCTCAGCTTCCTGGGCGCAAGGATTACAGGTGTGAGCCACTATACATGCAAAGCCCTGGTTTCTATACCTGCTCCGACATCTATCCATACCTGTCCCCCACTAGCTGTCCACTGTCCCCACATCTGTGGAGTCCCACAGCAACCACAGCATCCCTCCCAGCTGTACCCTGCCCCTATGCTCCGGGGCAGCCTGAGGACTTTCCCATGGCTGGAGCCCGGAGTTTCACTCAGGATACTGGCCTCCTTCAATGTCTTTGAGCTCTGTAATCCATCTACTGGCTCCTGAATGGCTCTGCCACCCACCCAATCTTTCTCTTTCCTCCCAACCCGTCCCTGGTCCAAGGTGGTCCTGACCCACCCAGACCCCTACATGGCCCTCCCCCCCAGCCCCAGCTTCTGATCCACCTTCCTCAAACAGCATTAGAAAGATTTCCCTAAAGTCCAAGCCTAACTGACCCCTGACACCCTGCCCCTGGCTCAGGACCCTCCACTTCTACCCGGCACTATCAGGCCAGAGTCTGAGCAACTCTCTGGGAAGGTCTTGACTCCTCTCACTTCACCTCTACCATAGCAACCCAATGCCTGGTTCTACTCAACCTTTGTTTAAGCTGTGCCCTCCCCCTGGAACCTTTCCTTTTGCGCTTTGCCCAACAATCCCCTTTAGATATGTTGCATAGACTACATCCCTCCTCTTCCAGGGAGCCTGCCCTGGCTACACTCCAGGCTGAGCCAGACACCTCTTTCAGGGGAACAAAGTTACTTGGGTTTCCCTTATCCCTGACTTCTAGAGTATAGCTATCTGAAGACATGTTTCCCATGAGACTGGGGGCGGAGCAGCTTGGGTTACGGAGTCCCCACCACGAGGTACCGCGAAACACAGTCCCTGGAGCATCCGCTGCCTGGATGGATGAATATAGATAGATGACTATCCTCAACCCCTCTGCAGAGACCCCAGGCTGAACTACAGGAAGTGTCACTCCCCAGCCCCGCAGGGTCCCCCTCAGTCCCCACAGACAGAGGCAAGCGCAAGGGCACAGCCCAAGCTTAGAAAAATAGGACTTCTTATTGTGCCCTAGGCCCCCGACACCCTCCCCATCAGAGTTTTAAAAACTGAGCAATTTGGTGAGTCTGAGGCCAGGTCCCGAGGGATGTCTGGATCCTGCTGTCCCTGGGGCCAGAGGAACCACAGAGGTGAGCCCCCAGCTAGGGTCCTGCAGGTTCGTGGCTGGGCCCCCAGGGCTCACAGTCCAGTTGGACCACAGTATGGGCCCTGGGTGCAGCAGGCTCAGGGGCAGGTGCACTGGGCACCGGGCCGAGGGCTCCGTTGGTCTGTGAGCAAACACTGCTGACCGGTGCTGCGGCCTTGGCCTTGCCGGGTGGCTGGCCACCATGCACCTTGTAGCGTAGAAGCAGCACGAAGATGAAGACGAGAACTGAAGCCACGATGACACCTCCCAGTGCGATGATCATGGTGCCGCCCAGGAAGGGTGCGTGGGGCGCAGCACACGGTCGCAGAGCAGGCTCTGTGGAGAACCGAGCGCAGCCTACTGGCCGTGTGGCTGTCAGCCCCGTGGCGCTGTCCTCATAGACGGCAAGCACGCACAAATCATAGGTGCGGCCTGATGCCAGGTCGGTCAACAGGAATGAGTGACTGTCCGCTGGGATCATCCTGGGGGAGGCAACAGGTGGGGTCAGGACTGTGTTACCCAGGCTCCTCACTTGCTGCCTCCCTCCTGCTGAGTTCCCTGGAGTCCTGCAGCCTCAGTGCACCCCAGTTCCCTCTAGCCGACACCCCAGCTTCTTTTGCTTAATCGACACCTAATACATCAGTCCAATGGGCTGGCCAGCTTCACTGTAACTCTCCCCCTCGCCACCCAAGTTCCCTATTTTGCTCACCTGTGGATCTCATACCCTATTTCTCTGCAGCCTAAGATCTTCTGTTCGTCTTTCAGAGTTTTCCCCTTAATTGCTCTTTCTCAGGAGCCCTTGACATCTCTAAGCCCTCAGCCCTGTTAGCACCTAGCCTTTGTCTGCCAAGCCCTTAGTCTTACAACCAAAGTTCGCCACCACCCACTGTCAGACACATGCCTGGTTCACTGCCCCATCTGATGCCTGTCTGATTCCTACCCACTACCCACCTCCCAGACTCTTGCTATGTAGCCAAGGCTGGCTCATATCTTGTGAAGGTTTTGACTCAGCCTCCAGAGTGCTGGAAATAGAACCATTTTAACACTACACCTGATCAATATTCCTCCTTTTTTTTTTTTCTAGCTTCCCAGACATCTTTCCCCAGATTCTCTCCCGATTTCCTTCTGTCCCTGTTTGACTTTTGTTTTACACCCTCGAGGGAGTGCACCATTTCTGGAGTTCTGTAACACCATGTTAGTGAGTAGAGTGGATACGGCAAGCTGCTACTCCGTCTCCTGGCTCCAAAAAAATCAATTCAATATATTTTTCTCGGATAGAGGACGTATCAGATATTAACCTGATAAAACAGACACTACACTTGATCTTAACCGAAAGGCCGGGAAGCAATTGCGTGTTTGTTTTAAGACAGGGCCTCATGCAGCTTAGCTGAGGCTTGACATGTAGCCAAGGCTAGCCTCAAACTTCTTATGCTCCTCCCTCCAATTCCAAGTGCTGGTGTGACAGGCATTCGCCCCCAACCGCTTGCCTGACTTCATTCCAGTTGCTAATTTCCCTTGTCCAGCTGCTTGACGTTTCCCTGGCGCGCAGCTGAATCCCCTCTATCCTAACCACTTGGTTCCCCCATGCCCCTGTTGACTCGTTTCCTTCTAGCTTGCCAGCAAATTTCCCCCTAGCCTCATTGCTGTATTATGGTTATCTCATGCTCTCTGTAGTGTTTTCCAGTGAGCCCTCAAGCAAATCGCCATCTCAGATTCCCTTTTCTGACTATTGCTTTCTTTCTTTCCCAGTCCATCTCTTCATCCTCTTTTATCTTGGTTTCCGGGGCTCTGTTTAGTCTTACTTTTGTGTGTGTGGTGCCTGTGTGAGCATGTGTGTGCATGCATGTGTATATGGATGTCTGTGTGTATGCATGCATGTCTGTATGCATGTGTGTGTGTGTGTGTGTGTGCGTGCTCACGCGTGTGGTGTGAGTGTTGAATCAGGCTTTGGCTATGTAGCTCCCAGGCTGACCTGAGCTCTCAGTGCCCTGGCCTCAGCTTCTCCAGGGTTAAGATAAAGGTATGAGCCAGCACACCAGCTCTGTCCTTCCCACCCAATTCTACTGTCTCTTTTTGTCTTGCGCCCTGATGGACTGGGCTAGTTTAGATCAGTTTTACTCCTTTTAGGAGAGCAACATGAGGAACTCCAACATGACCTGTGGCAGGGTGCTTGTCTCTAGACTGTCCCACTCACCACCAGGCAAGGTGGCTAACCCTCCATGTAATCTCCCAAATAGTGCCCCCCCACACACACACACAAAAAAAGAGGAATAGAAAAGCCATGTGTGTGGCTCACAGTTGGGGAGGTAAAGGCAGATGGTCTGGGAGTTCAAAGCCATCCTTGGCTTACATGGCCAGTGGGAGGTCAGTCAGGGATACATGAGATCTTGGGGGTGGGGAAGGAGGGAGGGGGAGGAGAGACAGAAAGAGTGGAAACAGGATAGAGAAGACAGAAGATGAGATGGTGAAGTATGGCCAGGAAAGGGGAGGGATCCAGGCACTGGGTTCTCTAGGTGATAACCAGCCCTCGGAAGGCCCCTTCTCACAGTCAGTTTGGGGCTGTCTGTACTCTTGACCCAGCCTGGCATCTAGAACGAGGAGTCATCTACAGCTTCCCATACGTGGCCAGACTCTGGCGAGGAGTGTCAGCCACCACCACTTCTATGCACTTGTGGTCACAGCAGATGAACCAAGTGCTAGCTGGCCTGGGGACAGAAGCTATACCGACTGGCCTTTTGGAGTGTGCAAACTTCACGCTTTGTGTTTGCAGAAGCCCTCAAAATGGGTATTTCTACCCGCAAAGCAAGCTGACTAGATCTTTGCGTGTTTGGTCTCTGAGACAAGGTCTCACTGTACGATGCCCTTGAACATGTCTCAACCTCTTGAGAGCTGGGAAGACAGACGGGCATGCATTGACACAGCTGACCTAGCTTAGATTTGATTTAGCAAACCAAAAATTAGGATGTTACTGTCATGAGAACTTTGACACACAGAGCTCATATTGCATGATCCCAAGGCCTTGTCTCTATTTAACCTCCTCCCCCCAATTTTCCACTTAACCTCTGCTCTCATTTCCTTGAGTTAGCCCACTTTGCCTTTTCAACCATCTACACATGTCTGCCCATTCCTTTCTCTGTCATTGCATCTCTTCTTCTCACCCCCCCCCCCCACACACTGCTTATGAGCTATCTCTGGCCAGCTTCAAACTCTCTCGGTAGACTGGGCTGGCCGTGACCTCTCACTGATAGCATTTCTCCCACGGTAGCAGCCCTTGAGAAACCAAACTTCCTGCTAAAATTCGTTTTTAGCCTCCTATTCCTCCCACAACCTCATTAACTTTCGCTTTTTCCAGTGCTGAGCCTAGACCTCAGGGCCGCCCGCAAGTGCTACCCTCGAACCCCCGTTAGCCATTAACTTTTTATTCCGTGGCCTGATTTTTTTTTTTTTTCTCCCTGCCTGACTTCACTCTTTATTTTGTTCCCACTGCCTTATTTCTTTCTACCTCTGCAGCCCGATTCTTTTAAATTTTATTGTCATTGATTGAGAGCGTTAGCCTACTGTCTGGTCAATTTTGTCTCATTTCCCTTCACCACACTTGTCCTATTTATTTCTCTTACCCTTTCTGTATCACTGCTGCCCGATTTTGTTTGCCTCCACTTTCTGATTTCCTCTGCAAACTGCAGCATTATATTTCTCGACTGCGGTTCACTACAGGATGTTCCTGGGTGGGCCCACAATGCATGCCTCTCCCCCCCCCCCACTCCCATTTGGCAGGCCCCTGCACCTGTAGACAAGGATGTCGTCTGCCGAGCTGTTGTATTGGATCTGGTACATGCGGATGCCTGGGACAGGCCTCTGATCTGGCCACTGGACAAGAGCAGCCGTGGCTCCATGCTCAGTCACTTGGACGCCACGGTCAGTAGGGGCCACGGTGTCTGCCACCTTGGCGGAGGCGGAGGCAGCAGAGGGCGGGGTGAGGGCGTCAGGATCCCCGTCCCGCGGGGGGTCACAGCTGGTGCTATTGGCTAGCTGGGGAGGTGGAGGGGGGCCCACGGTCAGCTCAACAGCAGCAGTGGCCTCACCGGCGGCATTGGCTGCGATGCAAGTGAAGATGCCACCATCTCCCGGCTCAGTGACCAGTAACTCCAGAGTCCCGTTAGGGAAGGCACGAGCGCGGCTGGAGTTGCCCAGCAGCCGACCCTGGGGTGACACCCAACGCACTCGTGGCTCTGGGTCCCCTACCGCCCGACATCGCAGGGCAGCTGGCCGACCAGCAGGCACTGCCAGGGGAGGAGAGCGGTGTGTGACCACGGGCGGCTCACACACAAACTCCTCCTCGCCCACAGCCCAGAAGTAGCGGCCCCCTAGGGCAGGAGGAGAGGCACAAGCCTCGAGGTCGTCCTCCCGAGCCAGGCGGCGTAGCCATACCAGCTCACAGTTGCAATGGAGGGGGTTTCCCCCAAAGGCCAGCACCAGGGCAGAGGCTGGCGAACCTCGGGGCCGCGCAAGCAGTGGCAGACGGGAGAAGAGTGGGTCGGGTGGGATGGTAGTCAGGCGGTTGGAGGTCATGTCCAGCCGTGCCAGCTTGTGCAGGCGGGAAAAGGCTCCAGCAGGCACTGACGCCAGCAAGTTGTGGTCAAGGCCCAACGTGTTGACGTTGCCCAGGCGACCCAAAGCCTCCCAGGGCAGCTGCTCAAGGTTATTATAAGAGAGATCGAGGTCCTCCAGGGTCTCGGCACAGTCGTCCAGGGCACCGGCCGCCAGGGCTGCCAGCTGGTTGTTGCTCAAGATGAGGTGGCGCAAGTTGACTAGGCCGCGAAGCTGACCCTCGCCCAGCGAGGTCAGTCTATTGCCATCTAGGTGCAGGGCACGCAGGGCACGTAGGTCGGCGAAGGCGCCAGCTGCCACATGGCGGATGGTGTTCCTGGACAGGCTCAGGTGCAGCAAGCCTGTCATGTTGGCCAGGTCACGGCGACGCACTGCCGCGATGAAGTTGTCCGCCAGGCGCAGCTCTGCCGCACGGCGATCCAGTGAGGGTGGCACAAACAGGAGACCGGCCCCGGGGCACAACACACTTAGGGGCAGCGACTGGGTCTGGCAGCGGCAGCGGCGGGGACAAGGACTAGACGTGGCCGGCTGGGGTGGAGATGAGGCAGGGGCCAGCGGTAGCAGGCAAAGGAGCAGAGGGAGGACGGCCATCGCGGGCAGGGGTGGCCTGTGGAGAAGAAGGGAGGTATTAGGGCTGCCTGGGCTGGACGGGGAGCTAAGGAGGGCTGGGGTGATCTGAAACTGGGAGATCAGAGAAAGGAGGAGTCAGGGATGTGGCATGCAGGCAGAGGGTGGGTCAAGCATGGTGGTCGGGAAGCTGGTTTGAGATGGGAACAGGTGGGCAGAGGCTAGAACGGCTGGGCGTGGTAGAGGAGAGGTAGGCAGGTGGCAAGGATGGTCAGGAAAGGCGGGACCAAAGGGGAAAGGCAGACAAAGAGGGAGAGCAGGCCACAGGTGGGCCCACCCAGGGCTGGGCAGAGAGGGGGACAAACGAGTTTTGGCCAGGAAGATAACCAGAGGGGAGAACTGATCAGGACAACCGGTCAGAGAAACAGACACAGGCGAGGAGAGAGGCCGGGAAAGGGAAGAAAGTCAGCTAAGGTGGAAATGGTCAGAGATGGCCAGATGTGAGTAGACCGGGAGTTAGGGTCTGGGACAAAGCTGGTAGCAGAGAAGGACGGGGTGGTTGGGAGAAAAGTCAGATATGGCTAGTAATGCCGCAGACCCAGCCTAGGAGCCAGGGGTGGGCGAAGGGGTGGGTGAGAACATGTGGGCAGATGTGACTGGATCAAAAGCTGTGGGTCTGTGTGTCCAAGCTGGTCAGAGAGGAGAGGGGAGCGGAATCGGTCATGGAGAGGAAGGGTGGAGAAAGCGGACCAGAGGGCAGAGGGGGACCAGAGGATGCTGGGTGGTCAGACAGGGAGAAGCCAGAAGGGTGGTGGCATCAGAGATCTGGAATGCCATCAGCTGGGCTAAGCAAGTCGGAGAGGGGCAGAGCTGGCCATGTGTCCGGAGTGTTGGAGACACACTCATGGGACAGACTTTTTCCAAGAAAAACTCCTAAAAATGTCACAGGGCACCTACTTCCACCTGTAGCCCAATTGATCCACACCCACCCCAAGTCCCTTCCCACCATGGATGTCTCTCAAAGGCCTTACCTGAGCTGGAAGCCACCCCAGGGAGCAGAGTCCTCAGGCTCCAAGGGGGTGAGAGGTCAGAACTCCGGAGGGGGCATCTCCTGCCCCCAAGGCCTCTGTGGAGGAACTGTCCTGTTTCAGCTCAAATCTCTGGTTATGGAGTCTCCAAACTTGATGCTTGGGGCCCCATGCCACTAAAATTGGGCCTCTAGGGTCCAGTTTTTAAAGACCGAGGCCCCAGAGTTGTTTCCATCAGTGTTTCTCAGTGCCAGGCTTGAGATGCCCAACAGCCAGATGGGAAAGTTTAGGGTCTGAGTCCCAAGTCCAGACTGGCATCCGTTATCGGGATCCTGTTGAGATTTGAGGGTGCTGAATCAAGACTTGGAGGTCTCTGCTCCAGATTTCAGCACTCAGGTCTGCAACAAGGACTTCAGGCCCCTCGGAATTCCATGGTTCAAACCTTGGAATTGAAGGCCTAAATCCCAGGGTTTAGCTCCTAAAACCGTGGGGTCCCAGGTATAGATTTGGGAATTCGCTCCCAGATGTCAAGGTATCAGCCAGACAACTCAGAGTTCAGCTCCAAATTTGGGGTCTTAAATGCCAAATCTTGGGGTCCCAGCTCCAATTCTTGGGGTCCATGTTCCAAAACCATGGGGTTCAGTTTCCAAATCTTGGGGTCCCAGGGATGGGTATCGGGACTCCAGCCCCAGGTATTGAAGTTCAATGTCCAGATCTTAAGGTTCCACGGCAGGATCTCACTCAGGGTGTTGATCCCAGGTCAGGGTCCCACGCTCGGGGGTTTCGGAATCTCTGGATCCGATCGCCGGCTGCAAGCGCCCCCGATGTCGGGGTGCCGGCCCAGGGTCTGGGACAGTAGCGGCGCTGCTGGATTCGTGGCCTGCGGAGGGAACTGACCCCATAAGAGGGGGGTCTGCTGCGGCGGGTAGGGGGGCAGCCGGGCAGCTCTAGGGCCGGGGTGGGGCGAGGCCTGGGCGCGGACAGACGGACAGACAGACAGGGCCACGCGGGGACCCGGGGACCGCAACGCAGGCGGGGGCGCAGGGGGGAGGGGCCGCGCTCAGAGACCCCTCCCCCGCCGGGGCCGGGGCGGGGGCCGGGCGGGGGCCGGGCAGGCGGGCCGGGTCCGGGTGCTCCCGCGGCCTCCTCGCCGGGAACCCAGGGCCGTGCGCGTGCCCGCACTTAAAGGCGCAGGCCCCGCGCGCACCCGCGCTTAAAGGCGTAGGCAGCTACCCTCCTCCCTTCTCCCTCCTCCCTCCTCTCAAAGGCGCGCCCCTAGCCCCACCTACCATGGAGTCGCCCTGGAGCTGCTGGGAATAAGAATATCCCTGAATAAAGACAGAGACAGGGAGGCAAAGAGAGGGAGCTAGAATAGACAGAGAGAGACTGGAACTAAGCATAGGCTTGGAGTAGAATGGGGGGAGGGCACAGAAATATATTGAAGGAGAGAGGTAGATACCCAGAGACAGTGAAAGACTCAAGAAACAGACATGAGAGGCAAGGACAAGTCAGACACATGCTCTATCTATCTTCCTTTCTTTCTATCACCTATCTATCTAATCTCTCTCTGTCCCCCTCCCTGCCACCCCCATATGCAGACCTGAGCAACTCAGAGTCAGTATCCATTCATATCCTTGTACACAGCTCTCCTCCTTAGATGCCCACACATCTGCCTCCCAGCCCTCTATTTCAGCACCACCTTCACAGGAAGTCCTCTTATCCGGGTTCTGTCCAGTAACAGGTCTGTTCTTTTAGGCAGCAGGGATCATTTCACTGGCTGGAAGGAGGAGAGTTGACACTAAGAACCATGTCTCCTGGGACTGGGGACGGAGCTCAAGACACAGTGACCAGAGATCCTGTAGAGGAGGACAGAGGATAGGAAATGGGTCAGAGGCAGAAGGCTGGACAGGTTGAGCAGAGAAATGTGCCTGCTGCCTTCTCTTGGTCTCTCCACTCCCGCAGAAGACCCTGGTCAGATTTGTGTCAACACATAACTCGAGAGGAGAGGTGTGAGGGACAGGGGTAGCAGAGGTGGGTGGTCCCACACTCTTCTGGCAGATAGTGTTTCAGGAAGAAGGATGTGGGCGATGGCCCACGAGCAAGGTCTGGATACTTGTGTGTAGGCATGTAGGGGAGCATGGTCTCCCAGAAGCCCTGTTGCAAAGGACACACACACACACACACACACACACACACACACACACAGAGCCTGGGTGACCTGAGGTGGGCTCCGAGCTAAGAAGCCATCTGAGCAGAGTAGAGTGACCTTGGAGGTGGCATGTGAATGAATGTCCATCCACTCTGGCATTCCCCAGCTCTGCTGAAGGTTTCAGAATACACTTTTGGCTCCTTCCACTTATGTCTATTGAAAAATTGCAGCTAAAATTAACTCAGCCCTGGGGCCCGCCTTTCCAGATCATTAGCAAAGTTCATCAACACTCCTGGCCCAGCACAGCGGATGCTGGCCATTCAAAAGCTCAGGAAGAAGTTGCAGGAGCTTCAGAGACACCGCTGAGATGCTGGGATTGGGGAAGACATGGAGGCCATCCCAAGAGTAGGAGCGCTCAGCAGTATTGATAGATTTTGGGAGTTGGTGACAGAAACTGAGGCAGGGAAGGGGAAAGACTTCAAAGGGAAAGAGAAACAGTATAGAAATGCTTCGGTGGGCACGAGGTACCTTTCTGGCCAGCTGGGGCTCAGTCCTGTTGAAGAACTTTAAGGAACCTTCAGAACACGTCAGGATTGCCGAGCTAGTGAGGCTGATCCGGGGACCACATTTGGAGGCTCAGAGGAATAAAGCAGGGTGTACACAGAACTTCCACAGCCCACATATCTAGGAAACAGGGAGGCATGGGTAAGGATGCTGCCATTGGATCACCGTCATTGTCTGGTCACTGTTACATAGTCAAAAATTGCCACGGTCAGTTTTGTCTGTCTGATGGATTTCGACATGCTTCTGAGAGGCTGGAGAGATGGCTCCATGGTTAAGAGTGCTTGCTGCTTTTGCAGAGGACTGTGGTTGGGATCCTAGCACTCACTTGGTGGCTTGCAACTATTTGCAACTTAGTCCCAGCTATTGGATGTCCTCTTCTGCCCTCTGCAGGCACCAAGTATGCACATACATACATATAGGCAAAACACTCATGTAAAAAAAAAAAAAAAAAAAAAGAAGCGACTGGAGAGATGGCTCAGCATTTAAGAGTATTGGCTGTTCTTCCAGAAGACCTGGGTTTGAATCCCAGCACCCACATGACAATTCACAGGCTTTTATACCTACAGTCCCAAGGGATATGATGTCTTCATCCAGTCTTTACAGATACATACATACAGGCAAAACAGCCATACACATAAACACAAAGAAAATATATTTGTAAAAATAAAAAAAAACCCAAATCTTTAAAAGAAAAAATTTTAAAAGACAGGTATAAGGACAATCCCAGCAATCCCAGCCCTCGGGAAACAGAGGCAGGAAGAACCTCAGAAATCCTGACTCAAAAAAAGAAAATAAGCCAGGCCCTGGTGGCACACACCCTTAATCCCAACACTTGGATCCCAGGAGGAGCTCATTGAGTTCAAGGCCAGCCTGGTCTACTTGTCAAGTTCTAGGACAGTCAGAGATATAGGAAGAAGAGGAAGGAGAAAAGGACAAAAATAAGGTAAAATATAGAAATGTAGCTAGCTATGGTGGCTCATGTCTCTAATTCCAGCAATTGAGAGCCTGAGGCAAGAGGATACTGAAAGTTCAAAGCCAGCCTGAGCAGCGTAGGGATTCCTGGGCCACGCTGGAGCCCCCGTCTTCAAAAGAGCCACTAAGAGATTAGGTTAGCGTTCTGCTGATAGTCCATCTTAAGGAGTGGTCCCATCCACTAATGGATTCCACATTTGAGTCAATCATTAGGACGTGGTGGAGCTGTGAGGGGTGAGACCTGACTGGAGGAGGTAGGTCACCGGGAGCCTCTTATGGGGGCTGTGTCTAGCCTCCTCCTTTTGTTACAGCTCTGAAGTCTCCTGTCAACATAATGTGGGCCATTTCTCTTCGATCTCTGTCAGTGTTCCTTTCACCATGATGCTCTGCTGAGACACATGGGGCCAGAACACTGTGCTCTTTTTCTTTGTTTTTATTTTTGTTTTTCGAGACAGGGCTTCTCTGTGCAGCTTTAAAGTCTGCCCTGAAACTTGCTCTGTGGACCAGGCTGGCCTCATAAAGATCCACCTGCCTCTGCCTCCCTAGTGCTGGCGTTAAGGGCACATGCCACCACCGTCCTGCTAAATTCTGCACTCTTTAAGACCACGAGCCAAATTAAGTCTGTCCTCCGAGTTTATCTCATTTTAAAAGATTTACTTCCTTTTATTTTCCGTGTACACGTCTTTCCTTTGCACTTGTTTGCTTTTGACCCCCTGGAACTGAAGTTCCAGATGGTGGGTGCTGGGAATAGAACCCAAGTCCTCTGCAAGAGCAGTCAGTGCCTGTCACATGTCGATTTTATTATTCATTTATTTGTGTGTGTGTGTGTGCATGCGTGCCCACACACACACTCACCCACGTGCACACACTCGTGTTCACGCACCCCCATACACACACATGAATTTGCAAGCATGTGTGTGGCCTGTAGAGGTCAGAAAAGGGTGTTGAATCCCCTGGGGCGCTCTGCATAAACAATTAGGTGGTGAAGCTGGGAGAGGGCCTGGGTGAAGCAAGCAGGCCATGGGGTCTGTTGTTGAAGGCTGTATCTCGCCTTCTCTCTTGCCCTTGATGCTCTGAAGTGCTGAGCCATCTCTCCAGAGCATGGTTTTTCCACTCCTAAGTTGCCTCTTTCAAGTGTCGAGTCACTAGATAGAAAGCTGACTAACGCAAGACTGCAATAACAATAACCTGGACAGCCCAGGTCCTGCCTTTAATGAGAAAAGCTGTATCTTTAGACAGCCCAGAGTGGTCAGGGCTGGGATGGGGAAAGCCTGGCTTTGGAAGGACTGAGCCTATGATGAGGAAGCCCACCTAGGTCATGGTGGACAGGGCTGTGACAGGGAAAGCAAGGGCAAAATAATGAGGCCTGTGGTGGCAAAGCACAAGCCAGACGGGCCCAGACTGACTAGGGAAGCAGAGGGGTGTGGGCTCCCATAAAGCAGAGTCGAGGACCTTCTAAGGACTCTGAACCTGGGGGCCTTCCTGGAATCAGGGATCAGTGTGCTGAGATGTAGAGGAGAAGCCCTGTGAGCAGGGCACTCCTTATGCCGTGTGTGTGTGTGTGTGTGTGTGTGTGTGTGTGTGTGTGTGTGTGTTGCTGCTCGCCTGAGCCTCCACACCATCCCGGCCTGGGGGACCCCGAGAGCCTGCATTGTACCATGTGGGTCTGCACGTGCTGTAACCCCTCATTAGCCCCTGGAAAGGGATCCTGGTGGGATGGCTGTTTGGGGGACTCTACTTAATTGCTGCATTTGCTTAATTGCAACATCTGGAGAAGAGGACAGAAGCAGCGAAACAGCAGAAAGAATGAGGTTATACTGCAGAAAGCTGAGAGGGCCTTGGGGGGAAGGAGACTGCTCAGATCCACGCACAGTCCAGCGCACACAGAAATTGCCCCGGGATGCACAGGCATGCCCAGGGCACATGCCAGAATGCACACCTATATAATGTCTACTCTAAGGGCTGTTGGAATTCATGTGCTGGCATACATTCAGATGTGGGGACACACGTAGGTGCACATTCAGACATAAACCCCTAAAACACACATAAAGTACACGAGAGGTCATGTGTATAGAAACAACACCCCACGTGAAGATTCTTCCCCACCCATCCC